AGCTCCAAGTGTCGGGCACTGATGGAGACGAAATCCCACCGACTTCTCCTATGGATATCCCCAATTTTGGAAGCACCACGAGACTCCTCCCATCCCTCGTCACGAGGACAGCTGGACCCCAGGCCCCAGCCCTACCTTCTTCATGAAGACGGTGTCCTGGCGCGAGCACTTGTCCACCTTCAGCTTCAGCACGGAGATGTCGCTGATGGTGCTGCAAGGAAAGGCCAAGGGAAGCGCGGGCAGCACGGACGCGGGCTCCCCGCCGCTTCCAGAGCTGCCACCCGGGAAGGAGCTGTCCAGGAGGGAGCGAGGCAGGAAGCAAGCGGTGGCTTTTGAAACCTGGCTGAGCGTTTTGGACATCCAGGAGTCCCGAGCCACGTCACCACAGGGTTTACACACGGAAATGCAAAAAAAAACACACAAAATGGACTGGCGAGACCACAGCAAACCCCACGGAGATACCTTCATCTGGGATTACAGTGGCCTTAGGGTGCAGCTTCCTTCTTACCCCAGACATAAAGTAAAGGCAGCGCGGGCAGTGCCTCTGGGGACGCGACGCGACCAACGAAGCCTCCAGTACCTGATGGTGGAGAACTTGTGGCGGTTCCCGTGGCGGTCGATGAAGCTGATGAGGATCTCGAGGACGAAGAGGCGGATCTCGGCATCCTCCATGAGGGCAGCAGGGAGCAGCCTGCCAGGAGGGCAGCAGAGAGCAGCCTGTCCAGGAAGGAGCTGGGAAGCGCCGTGAGCATGTTGCTGCACTGGAAGCCCAAGGAGACCTGCAGCGTCAGGGAGGAAGGGGGACAAGGTGACACCGCCACTTGCGGGGGTTAAAACACACAGGAGAAATGTAGGTGGAGAAGACCAAGTGGTTCGTGCTCCCTGGATGCAGGGATGGTGATGTACCTGGAGGAGGGACTTCAGGAGCATGATCTGCGTCAGGCGATTCCGGTTCTCACTGCGGGGGAGCCAAGGAGACCTGCAGCGTCAGGGAGGAAGGGGGACAAGGTGACACCGCCACTTGCGGGGGTTAAAACACACAGGAGAAATGTAGGTGGAGAAGACCAAGTGGTTCGTGCTCCCTGGATGCAGGGATGGTGATGTACCTGGAGGAGGGACTTCAGGAGCATGATCTGCGTCAGGCGATTCCGGTTCTCACTGCGGGGGAGAGAAGAAATGAGTGG